TGGATTTAGCAGCTGCGAGAGACGCAAGAATGTGACCTACAGGCGGTGAATGGCGCCGATGGATCAGTGGCATACCTTTGGGACGAGGCTGGGGCGTCCTCATCGCTCCGCGCTGCGAGAAATCTGTGCTGCGGTGTGCTAGCTAGGCTTTAGGGCAAGCCAACTGAATGAGAGTTCTCGGGGCGCCAAATTTCACTGCCAGTGCCATGTCACGCGCAATCTTCGCCGTCGGAATCTTCAGCCGGCACAGAGGGATGAGGGTTTCTTCCCCTCTTCTCGGTTGAGAGTTTGATGGGCTGGGCTCTCCTCGCCCGGATCGTCGTCAAGCGCGCCACCGCCAGCAGCAACACTAGCAGCGGCAGCAGCAATGGCGCCTATCAGCTCATCCGGCGCTGCTCCAGCGCCGCCCTCGTCGCCACCGCACACAAGCTGCCGCCGCCGCCGCCGCCACTTCCCAGCGATGAGCTCGCGGCCCGGGAGGCCAGGAGCGACAAGATCATCGTCAGCGGCTACGACGCGTGGTGGCGCGAGTGGCAGGAGCAGCGCCCCCACTTCCCGAGCCTGGGGGTGCCCGACATTCTGGCGTCGGACGACACGGTGGTGATGGACGCCAACATCGGCGCCATCTTCTCGCGGATGCGGCTGGACAAGGCGTCGCCCGACCGGCAGGTGTTCCTGGGCATGCTCCGCGCGCTGGAGGACCGCGGGCGGCTCAACGCGCCGCCGAAGCTCATTCACAGGTACGCCATCGCGTGCAACCGGATGCACAAGGTGTGTGTCCCGGGCGCGTTTCTGGACGAGGGGGACCGGAACAGCATCGGGCATTTGGCGGAGGAGGTGATGCAGTGGATCGTGGAGGCGCGGTATCAGTTGCCCAGGGATCCCGCGAAATCGATGGACTTCCTCGTCACCCTGCTCCAGTGCGCGTTTCTCTACAAGTCGACCATCCTCCTCACCAACAACAAGGACTACTACTTCGTGCTCAAGGCGGCCAAGGTCTTGCAAGAGAGCATGCACGCCAGCTATCCCGAGTACGCCGACAGGATCGATCTGGGCAGCATCCGGATCGTCTTCGTGCAGGAGCAGCTCAAGTTGAACGTGCACCAAGTTGTGCGTGTCTGAGAAAAAAACGTTTTTTTCTTTCTTTTCGGGAACAGCATTTTTTCTCCTCAACAGGCTTTCTGTATTGTACATCCTTCCGAATGAGTTTCTCAAGGTCCTTCCTTCTACATCTCGACATCGACTACTTACAGATAAGCTAAACGGCTGCCACCTTGCTCTTGTTCTTGTTCAGGAGCCGCTCCAGTGCAGCCGCGTCTGAGACTGGAGCATAGCACTTGAAATCCTGGCAAACAAAGGCTACTGCTTTGCTCTCCGGGGCTTTTCCCTGTGCCATGGCCAGGAGCATCGGATTCTTGGCTTGCCAAAAGTCTACGTCGCTAGGCAGCTCCGGATCTATCTGGATAATCTGCATCGCGGGACAAAACAAATATCGTCACAAAGCCAAGTGAAAGATGGAAATCTTACGGTCGAATCCGGGTCGAAGAAGAGATGACTTGTCGTCACCAATGCATCAAACTCGCCTGACGTTTTGACGCCTGCCACCAAAATCTGTCGCTTGAAAGGAACGCCAGCACATC